AATGTTTTATCCGCAGCATGCTAGTTACTGCAGTGCCACAGGCAGTAGGATTTATGCAGCTTCAATGATTATCGATCCAGCAAGGCCACATGGCACCACTCCTGCACTGCACACATGAAGGCAGCCAGCACAATGCAGTATTATACAAAGCAGCAATAACATGAAGAGGGAAAGGAGGGGCTTTTTATATGCTAAATGACACAAAGCATCTAAAATGTAGAAGTCTGCCATTTTCACCATCCCTATGCAAAAACTGAAGGAGGGCATTTGAAGGATAAGTTCAGCTTCAGGGAAGTTGTGGGGGAAGCCTGAAAGCTCAGCTATGTTTGATAAGCAAATAAGGTCTAGGAGGCAGTGCGCAGTCACACGCACACTACAATAGTAAAGTGGAAATCCTAAATAATGAGTTTCTTTTAGTTTCTGCTACCTTTTGGTTTGAAAGGCCCCTTTCACACAGGTGGTCCGCATATTTGCGTACCTGTCTTTGTGCTAGGAGCGTGCCGCACTGCGCGCTTCCAGCACAGAGACCGCGGTGTCACTGAGGGCCCCGGGTACCGTTCTAACGATCAGGAACCGGGACTCCCGATTCCAGGTCACATGATCACTGTGATAGTCTCTGATTGGCTATCACAGTGATCACTGTGCAGCCCGGCCCCTTGTTTTTCTTCTCTATGAATGGAGAAGATGGATACATTGTATCTCTAACTCCTAAAAAAAAAAAAAAAAAAATTGGTATCAGTTGGTGTCAATATCAGTGTGTTTAAGGTAACAAAAAAAAAAAAAAAAAAACCACACCACACAAAAACAAAATGTGCTTTATTGTTTCTGGGCTGTACTACGGGTACAAACAAACAACATACACATATATGGTATTGTTGTGATTGTCAAGAGCTGGAGAATTTATTTTGTGTCGTTCTTTGGTAGTAGGTTATGGTAGTAACAAGAAACACAGCTAAATAAAAATATTTTTTTTTTTACTATTTTGGGCCAGCTTTCCTTTGATAACTAGGAAAAAAAAAAAAAAAAAAAAAAAAAAAAAAAAAACCAGGAGATATCCATTACCATTTACCACCAAATGAAAGCCCAATTTGTTCTGAAAAAAACAAGACAAAAAAAAAAAACCCAAGGTATAATTCACCTGGATGTACAAAGTAGTTGTACTACTCCATCGTCACATGCCTGATGAAAGGATCCTGCAAGACTCCGAAACATAGCTCTTGCTGTAACTATGCGATAGCTTATTAAAGCTTTGGACCCATATTGGGGTACTTTGGTGTGCTGGTGACATTTCTCCCTTGTGATGCCTCTCAGTTCCAGCCGATGGTCACTGCACAGCACCCACCTACCTACATGTATAGCCACTGATACAGGAATGTGTGTGTTGGGGTTTTGGCATTATGTGCTTAGTTGTAACTTTTTGGCAATACATTTTTTTTTAAACTTTCTTCTTTTGCACCCCCATCACACGTGATGATTTTTAGGCAACATGTTCTTTATTGAGACATGCAGGGTCCAAAAAGACTGGTTGCCTCCACTCAATGTTTTGCAATATCAGACTGGAAGCAATCGGGTGCAGCTGCCCAACTGCTTCCATCTGACAGGCAGAAGCCTACCACCTTTCAGGGTTTTTTTTTTTTTTTTTTTTTTTAAAAACACAATCCCGGTGGCTGTCAAGTCTGTACAATGTACAGACATGGCGGCAAAAGGGTTTAACCACAGGGCACTTATACCCCCCTCCTGCCCAGGCCAATTTTCAGCTTTCAGCGCTGTCGCACTTTGAATGACAATTGCGCGGTCATGCAACATTGTACCCATATGAAAATTATTTGTTTTCACACAAATAGCTTTCCTTTGGTAGTATTTACTCGCCACTGCGTGTTTTATTTTTGTGTGCTATAAACAAAAAATAAATAAAGCAAAAAACATTTGGGAAAAAAAAAAAAGTTTGTATCTATTATAAAATTTTGCAAAAAGGTAATTTTTCTCTATCACTGATGTGCATTGATAAGGCAGCATTGATAATTAGTGCCGATCCCTTTGCTGACAATTGCCGGTTCTCAGCAGTACTTTCCTCATGCTGTGACAGTTTGAGGAAAGTGCAGCCGATAACCGGCAACTGTATTTACCCAATGATCTGTGTCATTGGACACAGCGATCATGGACGGCGCCAGGTGTGTGCAGGGGGGCCTGTCCTGGAATGCCATCATCCCAGGATTACACAACCTTCGGCTATAGCACAGTTGGGAAGTGGTTAAATATAACTAAAGGCAAACTCTTTTTTTTTTTTTTTTAAGTTTTGGATAGATGGCAGAGGGATTAGAATCTGTATCAATTTTTATTGCTCTCGGTGTCCCCATTAAGGAGATTCAACCTCTCGATTTGTCCCGTTTACCATCAGTGAAAGTAACAAAAACACACACTTTGGGTTGTCCCCAGAAAAGTAAGAGAGGGGAAATCTACCAAAGGGGGGCACTAGTTCTGATGACATGGGGGGTTCCCAAGGGATTCCCTTAATTTCAGTGATTTCCTCACTTCCTGTTTGGCCATGGGATCTCTCTGCAACGGCATACAGATGGTGAAAAACAAAACAAAAATCCTGACAGGAGTCATAACCCTCTCTTGCTTTATCCAAAACAGGAAAGAAAAAAAAAAAAAAGTTTGGCCTATAGTTCTAATTTAAAAGTGTTACACCAGCCAGTGGGATGGGGAAGTTAGACTATGCTGAGGCCTAGCTGGGAACAAATTAACAAGTATCGGTTGCAGTCACTGTACCTTTAACACTTCCTCTTCATTCTCCAGCAGGGCCAGAGGACCACAAAACTGGCAGTTTCCAAGGGCAGTGGATTGTTGCAGCTGAAATCGCAGGCATTTCTGAAGAGCTGCAGCTTCACTGTCTGTACAAATCAATTAAAGGCTGACAGGAGCCACAGATATTCACATATCTATACCTGTGGCAAGGAATAGATGAGCGTCCATGGACACAATGTCAGCACCCAGGACTAGACATGTCCACAGGTAACTGCTGAATGTGCAAATACATGTGAAAATTTGTGAACAGCTGTGGCTTCTGTCAGCCTATCATACAGCTGCAGTCAAGAACTACTTGTTAAAATTTGCAGATAAAAAAAAAAAAAAAAAAAAAAAAAAGTACGTTTACACATTTTTGAAAAAAAAAAAAAAAAAAAAAAAAAAAAAAAAAGTTGATCACCCCCCAAGGAACCTGTAAAGAATTGCACGCACTTTAAGCACATCACAGGTACAATGTCAGGCTCCTGCACACTCCTAGGATAGCCCATACTTCTGATACACAAAAGATACTTGAGAGCAGGAAGATCAATAGATTACAAGAGCGTTCACCAGCACCCTTGCAGTTCCAATAATGTCAAGCGACAGCGGGTGCTTAATGTTACACATTGCACCCTAAAATAGGAGCGTAAAATGTTCAGAAAGGGGAATCTTTAAGAATCTTGCAGCAAAATCCTGAATTAGGCCTAATCAGTCTCACTCATTCCAACACTACAAATAAAAGTTGTGCCTACATACACAATTTAAAAAGATATTTAAATCCAAGAACGAATTTCATTTAGCACAATATCAGCTTTCCAAGCCATGTTCTGCAAGCTACAAAAACACCTGTTTTCTGAAACCGCCTCATTCGATGAGGCAGCAAGCGGGGGCCACTGGCTCCCTCTGCTGTCAATCACAGCCAGGCAGCCAATGAGGAGAGAGGGGGCAGGGCCAAGCCACAGCTGTGTGTGTGAATGGACACAGAACAGTGGGTGCCCCCATAGCAAGCTGCTTGCTGTGGGGACACTGGACTGACAGGAGAAGCCAGGAGAGCCTGCGGGGGACCCAAGAAGAAGAGGATCCAGGCTGCTCTGTGCAAAACCACTGCACACAGTAGGTCAAGTATAGATAGGTTTGTTATTTTACAAAAAAAAAAAAAAAAAAAAAAAAAAACGATTTGACGACGTGGAATGATGGTACCCTGAAAGGACATATCCTTTCCCCCATGCTGCTGTAAAAGTACTGCACAAAATAGGTGCCACCTATGTACAGATTTCAGTTATTGATCATCGGGGTAGGGGGACATAAAAAAAAAAAAAAAAAAAAAAAAAAGTCAGCGACAGGATAAATCTCAAAATGACCAAAAGAACAAGCCAATGAAATGTCATTCTACAAAAACACAAATATTACATAGCAAAAAATGTAAAGTGTGTCCTCGCTGTACATACACCTTTAAAAGAAATGCAGGAAAGATCTTTTTTTAGGGTTTCTGAATTGTAAAAGGAAGAATTCTAGGTATGGCATTTTGTACAGTTACATCGGTCCAGCTTGGACCAATGTAACACTGTATACACCATACTTGTGAGATCCCTCTAAAAAAGGTGGAATTCACTGTAGTAGACACCCCTACTAGAGTGATCTTTTGCCTCTGGGCCAAGTGGCTGCCCTGCTACCTTCTGAAGGCAGGATGTAAGCTACTCAGCACGGGCGCCATCCAGAGAAAGCTTTGCATTTTCTCAATGACTGCAAAGCATTCTCTGATTGAACGAGGTGGTGATGTCATTGCCATGCCACTCCACCTTGTTCAATTGGAGAAAGCTTTGTAATGACTGAGAAAATGCAAATCATTCTCTAATCATGCCTGTCCTAAGCAGCCGATCTATACAGCAAGGCAGTCACCTGGCACGGGATGTGGAAGCTAGTAGCAATCACTGGAGTAATCGTGCCTTCTGCAGTCATTTTCAGTTTCTAGCATGATCCCACAAGTATGATATATGCATAGCTGCACTGGTCCAGGCTAGACAGTGTGACAAAACAAAAGTGATACCTGGAATTCTTTAAGAATGTGACACAATCCATCACTTGTGAGGGACAAACTAGATTTCCAAAAGTAAAAATAAATAAATAAATTCTAAAGCGAGCTTTACTACAATAACTAGACATTTCCTTGTGAAGCCATGTCTATTCTCTATCAATTCAGATGACCAACTTACCAAAACAGTGTCACAAACGCTTTTGAGCTCGCCCTCTATTTTCTCCCGGTATTCTTTAGTCAATTGCAACTTCTTTTCCGATTCACCTGACTTCTGCTCAATGCTGGAAATGACCCTCCATGAAGACCTCCTTGCTCCAACCACATTCTTGTAAGCAACAGAAAGAAGGTTCCTTTCTTCATTGGACAGCTCATCTCCGTATTGTGTTACATTCCTCATGCAATCTGCCATATCATCATATCGTTCTGCTTGCTCTGCCAGCTTGGCCCTCTGGAGCAGATCGGGTCTTTCTGACATGGCTTATGTGTGATTTGGTACACAGGAGATGGAAATAAAATTAGGAAATCAAAGATGTGGACTCAAGTGAGGAGTTGTAGCTGGAATTGGATTACAAGCAGGGAGCCAAACCTGTATGAAAAAAAAAAAAAAAAAAAAATATTAACTTCATAAAGCCATACAGAAAAAAAAACACAGCATTTTCACATTACTTAAGGAACTACTTTTTAAATTATGTTTAGACAGGGACATCAGTATTTTACTGGATGTGCATAATACACTAGAGACAGTATAAATCATATCATACCCAATTAAAAACAGCAACCTAGAGTAACACCTAGCATGTAAAAAAAAGACAGGGTTGTTTAGTTTCTTTTCCAGCCTGGCCAAGACATCTGCATGGAGTTTGAATATTTTTCATGAATTTCAAGGGTTTCTTCCAAAACTCCAAAGAAATGCTGGTACATTAACTGGCTCCTTTTGAAAATTGGCCCCAGGAAGTATATATGTGAGATAGGGATCTTAGACTGCAGTGCAAGCTCGAGGGCAGAACTAATGTGGATGTACAGTATGTAAAACACTATGCAAATTGTAGGTACTATAAACAGCTATAATACAGTAACTAAAGTTACCTTAAAGCATACAGTTCTAGGGCAGAAACATGTCATGCTAGAATAAAAACCAAAATCCTCCAAAAAGATTGTCTCCTTGCAAAACGAGTTAAAGCATGAGTCAGAAGCAGGAGGAGCTCAGAAATTAACATCTAACTAGAGGAGGGAGCAGGAATGAACCAAGCTGCCCTGCCTTTTGTCTCCAGGCTCTCTGAATCATCCCCGCCCTGCCTGCCTCTCCCTCCACCATTCCTCCCACCCCTCAGGGGAGCCAGGCTTCCCATCCCAGCAACATGCTACCAGCTTCACACAACCTGCAAGACAGACAGTGCAGGGAAATGCCAAGTCCTGCAAAGACCACGGCTGCCATTCTTCTACCAGTCAAAAAAGGGATAGTAGCCAAATACAATGATTTTAGATTACTGCAGAGCCACAAACGTCCCAGTGAGCAGATTTATGATCACTAATTATTGAATCTAGATATCAGGAAAGAATAGTTTTCCTTCCAGCTAATTGACCATAGAGATTTGTGATTAGTCACACCACTTTCCTGACCCAATTGTATTGCTCACACCCCACGTTTTACCTGCAAATCTATGATGCACGATACCAACCCACCACAATGAGCATCAGCCCACGCAGCAAAATCCAACATACACGGTAATGAGCAGCAGACTGGAATATTCTACATGTAGAAGGATTATACAGAGCAGGAATCTCCCTCCTACCACTGGAGGGAGCGAGTAAACCCAGAGATGGAGATCCTCACACACCAACTGCAATCCACCTTCATTTAAAGACAGCCATGCAGAAGCCATAGAATTGCCCATGCTGCATATGATAGAAGGTGCAAAGTATCCAGTGCTACAGGCTCATTAACCTCAAATCCTAAAGAAACCACAAAACCCCAACATGCTACAGACTCAGCTTAAAGGAATACAGATTTTGTATGCAAGCTGACCCCTATACCCGTAAAGAATATTCAAAGGTTCCACAATGAGTCCAGCGCTCCAACATTAAACATATTTCCTTTCCCAATACATCGGGCAGGGCTGTTAACGTTTGTAAAGCCTATTTTTAGTTCTGGGCAGAGTAGGGAAGAGTTAAAAACGCATCAGGATGTTTATCAGCTTGTGTCCACCCCAGGGAATTTTCCCTTCACTTCCTGTCCTGAAGACCTAACAGGAAATCTTGCTCATGTGATTAGAATTCCTCTCAGTGTCATCTGTCCCAAATGGAGAATTTTCCCATCTCCTCCTAGGCCACTTTCACACAAGTGTCCTCAGTCCACCTCCATAGTGGACCCCAGGTTGATCAACTGACCCTAGGGCACTTTCACACTGGTGCCCTCCATCCCATCTCAGTAGGGGACCCTAGACCGATGCTCTGCTGAGTCAGATAAATAGGGAAGTCTTCTGCCCGACATCTATGTAAACCTGCGTATTCCTCTGATGTAAGTGATGCAAGTCCGCCCACAGACAGTCCTTAAAAGCAGACCTGGACTTGCCCACATCCAGTCCTTAAAAGCAGACCCGGACACACAAATTTCCATCTGGTCCTGGGCACCGAAATGGAGCCAGAAGTGGGCAGATCTAAGCAGACACATGCCTGGTCACCCACATTGATACAATGAAGTCCATTTCTGATCTACGTAATAAAGGGTTTGAAAAACGGAACACAGTTTGTAGAAAAAAAAAAAAAAAGTCAGAACATTCTTCCCATCTAGCTAACCAGCTTCGAAAGCAAGCCCTTAAAATTTCCTCCACTCCAATGAAACCTGAGATGTACAACAGTTTTGTTACAATATGTATGATTTTCACCCAAATGAAAGCCAGTCAGTGTTAGGATTTTCTGACAATTTTCTGATCCTGCTCCACATTTTCTCATTACTGTATCCTGATTTGACCCCATTAACCACGAGAAAAAATAAATAAAATTTGCAAGTAAATCTTAGTGTATGGCCAGACTCTGGTTACAAAACGAACATAATTGATCTTCCCATCACTTCTTGCCTGGGCAGCGTTGTCTCCAGCACAGATTTTGGGGAGAGGGCTTCCCCAGATAGAATTACAAACCTGACAGAACTAAAGACAGCATTTAACCCCAAACAAACTTAATATATTGCAGATTACCAAGCATTAGATGTGGCTGCATTAGTTTTATTTTCTTTGGCTTTTTCCCTCTGATTTTCCCCTGATGTGGCCAGTAACACGCCTCCTGCACTGTGCCTACACTCTGGATCAAGGAGCACCTTTAGGCACAGCAGCATTGTCAGTCTTGGGGGGGTTAAGAGTTAGCTGTACAACAGATTTAAATACACTAACAAATTGAAGCCAAACTCCAGCTCACACTTCTAATCGGTTACAGCACTTATTTTTTCCCCCTTTAAGGCTAAAAGGTTTTAATTAAATAAAAGCTGATCATTGAAAGCACCAGTCAAGGGTAGATGGTTTGCCACATCCCTCTAACTGCTACATCGGCAGGACAGGTTAAAAAAAAAAAAAAAAAAAAAACCCAAGCCACTTGCTGGCTGGAACACCAAATGAAATAAAAGGAAAGAAAGCCTAAAAAATAAACCTAATGCATCCAAAACATCTAAGAATTGGTAAGCTTTCAATAGAAAGAAAGTTTGCTTTTTGGGTTTAATACAACTTAAACCTCATCCCGTCTATTCAACAGGAGCCAGATACCTTCTGTAGTCTCTAGAGCCCTTCCTCTAGAACAGGAAGATGGAGGTGGTGGGGACCGTCCCTGCATGTGGGCAGCACATTATACTGGAGAGGAGAGCCCAGCCAGCAGAGGAAACGACATCCATACACAGGAGGGCCCTGAGGAAGCGGAGCCTGGGCCACATACTCCACAGATCTCACACATTGGCCCCGGCCTGGGAGCTCAATGGCAGCCATGGAATGCAGACACGACGCCTGTATACCCCGCAAATGGCCCCGGCCTGGGAGCCCATTAATGGCTGCCATGGAATGCAGACACGACGCCCGTGTACCCCGCAATGGTCCCGGCCTGGGAGCCCACAGAAAGCATAATGGCCCCGGCCTGGGAGCCCATAGACCTGTTGTATAGGACGTCTTCCTGCCGCCCATGAATTCAGACACAATGGGCCGGGCTGCTCACAGCCAGCCATTACACGGGCACCACGTCCGGTCCCAGCCCACAGAAGCGGCGGTAATGGCGTCTGGCGCACATACACGGCAGTGAGGTATAAAGGCGTGCCGCTCCCATCGCAGGAGCGGGAGGAAGCCGCATTGACACACTCACCTTAAGGGCGCTCCTCGCCTGTGTGAGCCGCGGGCCGGCGCTGTGATGAGAAGACGGAGGACGGGATGAAGCCACACCACACACACACAGCGTACAAGAAATCTTCCAGCCTCTACCTAACCCAATTACCAGGCGTTGGCAAAAGGGGCGTGGGAGTGAAGAGGCCTTCGCCAATCAAAACCGAGATGGACACCCGCCAATTCCGTGTTCCTTCGGCCCCGTGAGCCAATGAGAATTTAGCGCGGGAGCTGAGGGCTGGGTAAAGGGGGCTGGGTTAGGTTGAAGGACAGGGCTACGGCTAGGTCCACGGGGTTTCCGCCAATGAGGTGCAGGGTGGCGGGACGTCATTGTTGCTGTGGGAACAGAGTTGCAGCTTTTTTAGTTCTGGCTCCTCATGCTCAGAAGCCTGGGCGTGGTGCTGGTTTCCTGCAGCCGAGGTGCTGCACCGCAGGCGGGGAGGATTCTTCACCTGAACCTGGGTGTGTGTGCTGGACTAGCAGAGATATGAATGTTGTCCAGCACTGAGTGCAGGGTGCTGCTGCACTACCATTGCTCTGGTGCCAGGATCTTTACCTGGCCATGGAGGTTGCCGAGCACGATGGGAGTCTGTATAAGGGGAGTCCAGGCTGGTGCACTGTGCACCACGTGTGGAGGGGATTGCATCATGTTTGTGCCTCAGGCAGCCATAGAGGAGAACAGGCTCAATAAAACACTGACTGGAGTCTCTCCTTCCACACACTGGATCTGGATGGGGGAATCTGCCTCAGTGAGCTACCATATTCAAATAGGAGACCTCCCCACCATCAGAATACACTGATCAGCACTGTCGGCTGTAGGCTGCAGTGCAGATCAAGTGGGGAAAACCTGACAGGCTGCTTGTACAGAAGTCAACTGCCTCTTGTGGAAAGCCTTCCCTCAAAAGATGACAGAGGCTTGTTAACCACTTGTCCTCCAGAGGAATTACCCCCCTTCCTGACCAGGCCATTTGTTTGCATTACGGTGCTGCATTACTTTAACTGACAATTACGCTGTCATGCGATGCTGCACTGTAAATTAAATTTATGTTTTTTTTTTTTTTTTTCCCCATATGAATAGCGCTTTCTTTTGGTGGTATTTTATCACCTGTGCGTTTTTTAT